CCTTTTCCGATGTTGGAAGAGGCCAATGGTAAGAGGACTGTTGGATGGAGCAAGTCTGTTCTCTAGATGGGCGAGAATGCCAGGCCAGGCCCGAGCAGTCTGACTAACCTTCCAGTCTGCCTAGCAGCCACTGTGTGCAGCGGGATCACAGAGGAACCAATAACAAGGTCTGCACTCTCGTGGTCTTCCTGGGTGGCCAGTGTCACTGTTGGCCAAGGAAATAGCACAGGCTGCCTTTCTTCTGTCCCACATCCCAGGACAATAGGAGCTATGTGTTTGGAGAGGGAATTGGCCCAGAGTGACTTACAGGGGGGACTGGGGGTGAGGTGGGGTGGGAGGTGTCCTTGCCCTCCTGATTTCTTTTTTCTGTCCCGAGGGCCCCTGATCTAAGCTTCCTACAGTGTGTTAGAGCTTAGTTCTGTCCTGTTCTTTTCCATAGGATTTGGTTATGGCAGTACCAGTGCACTGTTAATGTTCTTAGAAACATATATAAAGTGAATTCTTAAAATAAAGTGAAACATACCTTAAGGTCAGGAGAGTTCTTCCAGCACCCCCACTTGTCCCTTCTGTAAAGAAGGCCTTTGGTGAATCTTTGAGAAGGAAGTAATGCTTTTTTTTTATAGTGGGAAGAATCAGATCTTGATCGCTCTGGTTTATAAGTTTTGAGATTTTTGAATGTCAAATTCTCTTAAAGTGGGATTCCGGCCATATGGCACCGGTAGAAAGATGTTGCATATGGTGAGACACTATGGCATGGACCCCTGGGAGGTTCCAGCATGCACATCACCTCCAAGTACTGGGCCTGATTGAATGCCACTGGCTTAATTAGCATATTGAACATGACAAATTTCTTTTTAAACTTAGGTTCATTGGAAAATGAAAATGTTTTCTTTATCTATTTTGGAGCAGGTAGAAGCATTCAGAGCAATGTGGCCGACAAGCAAATGGAGAACTAACTAAGGGGAATAATTTGTTGCTCATTTGATTTTGAATCTGAAATTTTAGCCGGAACTTGCATTTGAATGCTGTTTTTATCATTTTCTGTCATATTTCCTTCCAGTATATGTCATTAATTATAATTCATAGCTTATTAAAGCTAATAAAAAATTTTTTTGATGGTGCCAGGCGTTGAACCCAAGGCCTTGTGCATGGTGGGGGCAAGCACTCCACCAACTGAGTTATATCCCCAGCCCAATCCAATTTTGACACCAGGAGCTCAGACTTTCTTTTTGAAGTGGAGGATGGGGGGAGGGGTGGCGGTGCTGGTGATGGAAACCTAGGACCTCTACATTCCAGGCAAGCTTTCTGCCACTGAGCACACCCCAGACCAGTTTAGACTCTTTCAAGAAGATTCTGTAAAGACCTAGGCTGCCCAAGGGAAGTTGTATTAAGCTTATTATAAGAATATAGTAGGGATATCACTTCACCTCTTTATGGTGAAGCTTAATGCCCTTTTTAGGAACACGGAGGAATTCAATTTTAGAATTTAATGGGTTCTTGAGGAAAATATAATGTTTGTTTTCTAGAAGAGGAAGTGAGATGTATGATCACATAGCAGTTACTAGTAGCAAAGCCCAGGAGCACATTTCTCAAGAGGATGCTTGTGTAGGCTCGCGGGCTGGGCATATAGAAAATATTACAGACCCTACCTGATGACACTTTGAGCTTCTCACATGCTTAGTATCACCAAGCAGTACTTTAAAAAATACCCAGTAAACCAAGATTTTCCTAATTCTAATTGGTCTTTCCCTCAGGTCATTATAAGGTGTTGAAATTTTCCTAGGTGTTGAGGGGATAAGTAGATATAATTGATTAGAAAAGGCTTTAGGTTGAGAACTGATGGAAGAATTCTACATCATTCATAGAAAATAGAAGGCTGAAATTAATAGAGCAGAACTGTACCTGGAGAAATACTCTCAAAACTCCAGAGAGCTCTGGGGTGTTGGTGCCATGGTGTGGCAGCCCTGTGGTGAGTAAAGACCCTGTCCTGCTCGCCATGCACACACCCTGTCTCCCCAGTGGTAGGAAGTGAAAAAAAAAAAAGAATAGATGGATTTATTTTTTTTCTTTTCTTTTCTTTTATTCTTGCTGCTAGTGAAATGATCTTGATTAGAAAATCACATTAGAACTTTAGCAGTTGCTGTTTGAAATAGAGCTGTTTCCATGCCACAGACGTTTGGAGAGGAGATTGTTTATTGAAATGTATTTTTATAGAAAATATTACAGAACCTGTAATCGGAAACTGATGGCACTGTTTTGTAGAGTGATATGTTCCTAATGCTGGTTGTGGGTTCCCTCTGAGCTCCCTTCTGCTGTTCTAGAACGATGAGCCGAGTGAATGTTCTCCAAAACTCTCTTCGGATCTACACTGGGCTTCATGGAACAGAGTTTTAGGTGCTTGAGTAATGTATAAATCCTGTTGGACAGGAGCTGCCTGTCAGTTTTATTAACTTTGACCTTTTCTCCCATTATAAAGGTGGTCCGGTTAATATTTAATGGGCCCCTTATAGATCTTGACAGTTGGAGCTGTGTTCCTGGAAACTGGGATCCGTATATATGATTAACAAATGCCACTTAATCACTATGAGTCAGCTTGCAAGGGCAAGTTTCATTCTGGGGGAAGAGACGTCTCTCCACCTACATGGGCTCCAGGAGCTGTGCTGTGGTTGAGCGCCTCCAAGATGGTGGGCTGCACAGGAACCCTGTAAAAGGCAGATGCAGTTAGCATATAGTTCTGCTCTTTTGTGTTTTGTTTGAGCAGACGATTCAAATGATGCCAGGTGGGCAAAATCCCCCTGCCACTCTGCATAGTTTGCAGGACTCTTCCTCTCCAAGTCAGCAGGAGCGGAATGGCTGAGTTTGCATGGATAAAGGAGAGCCAAAAGGAGAGATGATTCCTTGAGCCAGGAGGGGCCCTGCCAAGCCGTCTTTCCCTTTAAATTCCATAAAGCCCCATGCATATTGCACTCATTGCAAATTCTAGTGGGGAAGATCGAAACCCAGGCAGCTGACATTTTGAAACATTGTCTTTCAAACTTGTACTGTCCCTTGCCTCCATTGATTTCCCATTTAAGAAATCTGTAGGAGAAAACCAAATTTGAACAAAATTCATTGGTCTAAGATGAGTTGTTAGAGGCAAATTATGCCCCCCTTTTCTATCCTGAGAAGAGCTCTATTTTTATTATGAAGGCAATATATCCTTGTCTTGTGTGGGACAGCCATAGACTGCACAGCAAATCGAACAAGTAAATCAAGAGCCTGTTAAGAAGCAGTATGGATGCTCCAAATACAGCCGTTTCAGTCTTGCTGGGTCACTGGTATCTTCATTTTTATAGCCACTTCCAAGGAGCAGATCATTTCAATTGGCTTTGTTTTCTTCACTCTGTTTGTGTGCAGCCCAGTGGCATTAGGTGAGGCCATTTATTTTTTAGAATGTTATTACCCTTCGCATCCAGGGCCCAGCCCTTTATATGTGGTGGTCAGCAGCTTCATTACCATGAGCTGTAAGTAGCTGACACGACAAAGAAAATCTATGCCTAGGAAGAACAGTTTGAAAAGAAATTGATCAGAATTTTAGAATGAATTACTCTTTGTACACTTACTTTATTCTAAATATATGTTTGAAAGATCTTGCTTAATTTGAGAAGAGAGGAGGAAACATTGGATGTTATAAATGGTCTCAGTCCAGATTCATAGCTTTACATTTGCACATTTGAGTGTTTTGTTTACATCTGTTCAAAATTGGGACAACTTTCAAGGCTGATTTTATTGTGAAGAGTTGATGATAACTCTTACAATCTAAAATACAAAGCCCAGAATTAAAAAGTCATCATTATATATCAAGCTGGAGAGACGCTTTATTTGGCAGTTAGTGAGAATGATGAGTTTTATAAATCCATAGGTCCTGGTGGTAGGAGTTGGGGGATTGGCTGCATGGGGCTGTGAGGGAGCTCTCTGCAGTGATGCAAGATTTCTATGTCTTGATTTGGGGTGTTAGTCATGCAGATAAATACTTCTGCCAAAACTTATCAAACTGTACACTTAAAATGTGTGCATTTTACACAAACTGTTATCTTGAAGTGGATTTTTTAAAATTTCTTGTTTGGTTTAGAACTAGGCAGTGTCATTTCTCTTTTCCAATGGAGAAGGTGAAATACTGTAGAGGGTAAAATGATCTGTCCTGTAACTTCAGAGCTCAGCAGTTTGTCCAGGAATAAAGCAAAGGATGCTGGCACTGAGCCCACTTAAAGTACGTGCTTCCTCCCTGCTACTTGTTTCCAGTCATAGGTAAGTGGAGATGATATTGACTTCTTCACCAGTTCTCAACGAGCCTCTATTTGTATACATTTTGTCAGATATAGTCCTGAGTTTGTCCTTCTGATTGATGCTGGTACCTTAACCATGAAAACAGTAGCCGCGTGGCACTTGAGTGTGTGATGGTTGCGTGTTCCTGGCTCACTATGATAGGCTACGAGTTTTGTGGTTTTTATTGTATGGAAGATATGATAATAACATGAGTTCTCAGAACTAACTCTGTCTTTAAGGGAAACCTTGGACTCTTATTATTTTTTTAAAGTGACATAAGCTTTAAAATTATTTCCATAAAATATATGAATAAGAGTGAAAAATAAAGAAAAATTACCCAATTCCTACTAGTATTTAGAAATATACTGATAGCATTTTAAGTGTCTATTTACATGCAAATTATTTTTAATTCCACAAAATGATGTTGTAAAGTTCTTTTGACATTTTAACCGCTTTCCCAATTCACTGTTGGACAGTTTGGTTGAGTCCAGTGTTCATCATTGTGTAATGCTGCCATGAGCAACCTTATCCATATTTCTTTTCTATTAATGCACTTCTCTCTTTAGGAAAAATTCCTTGCAGCAGCATGTTGGTAGCTGGGTATGATATTCCTGAACTGGTGGAGCAGATTGGGACTGTGTCGTTTGGTGGTCTGATGCTGTTTCCTTCCCCCTTTGTTTTCTTCTTCTCTGTAGTTGCAGTACCATGCAGGCCTGGCATCTGGCCTTTTGAATCAGCAGTCCTTGAAGCGGTCTGCAAACCAGATGGGAGTGTCTGCCAAGCGTCGACCAAAGGCACAGCCCACCACCCTGGTCCTGCCACCTCAGTGAGTGATGGGTTTGGAAAATAACTTTCCTTTTGGGTGAACTCGACATTGTGCTTGTTTTGAGCTGCTGGAAAGTTATTTTTGTTTTCAGAATTGTTTCTTTCTTTAAAAAAGGAGTATGGTGGAAATAGAAACCAAGTGCTATGGTAACATCCTTTGCATAGATCTTTATGAAGCAGCTGTAATGCAGTTTGTAGTTTACATGTTTTGTATGTGACCTTTCCTTCTAAGACTTTTAGATGACACATAGCTTATCATTTCATTTGTTTCCTTATCACAGTCCCAAACTTGGCCGAATATGATTACCCTTGTCCTTATCTGACAAAGGAGACAGCTGAGGAACGCCTAGAGAATCGGCTAGAGCTGGCATTGGAAGCAGTTGGGTTGCTGCTTCTTTTGGGTAGTGACCATGTGCCCTTCTGCGCTAGGTGCAGCGAGGTTCCTAGGGCACACACCTCTGTGAGTTCTTTCACACATGTGGACCTCCATGTACTACCACTGCCAGAAGGCTGGAAGGGCCCCTTCCTCGCCTTGTTCCCAGCGTATTTGTGCTGCCTTCCTCCCTAGCCTGGCCTCTGAAACAGTTTGCCTACCCTTGAACTTCATATAAACGGAGCCGCACAACATGGCATCTCTGTCAGCTTGTGTTTGTGCTGGGGATTGAACCCAGGGCCTTGTGCATGAGGAGCAGTGTTCTACTACTGAGGTGCACCCGCCTGGGACCAGTGTATCCATATTTTTCCACTCAATATCTTTAGATTCAGCAGGCTGTTTGTACTTTTTGTTGCTATGTCTTCTTGTGAATATGCCATGTTGTTTCATCCATTTACCTGTTAAGTTATTTTGTATCAAAAGCCCTAAGAGATGTGTTCCAAGGATTGCTTCATGATGCAGCTGTCAGTCCTTGATGATAAAGAGGGGCCACACCCCCCCAGAAGGCTGGGCATAGACTTCAGGCACATTCCTCAACTGTCCTGCTGTCCTTAGACTCCCTTTTGCTTATGAACTAAAAGACAAACTACATTTTTACATTTCCTGCCCAAAGGAGTATTTGCATAGAAGACTTAATAGTTTGCCCTTACTGAAGATCTCATTTATTTTCTGCTTGGTTAGCAAATATTTATTGTGCCTACTGTGTGCTGGGGCATGGTCCATGCTCTGGAGATGTAATCACGAGCAAGATGGATACAGTCTTCCAGTCTTCTTTTGTTTAGTGGGTGGTGGTGGTATGGGAGTGGGGGTAGACAGGAAAAAAACTCTAAACAAATTTATAAGTTAGCACCATAATTTCTAGTTATAATCAGTGGAAGGGAATAAAGAAGAGCAAGGTGTGGGAGGGGGGAGCGTGCTGAAGTAGAGTAGCCAAAAAAGGGCTCTCAGGACATGACCCGGGGCAGACACCTGGGAGGAAAGGCCAGGGAAGAGCTGGGGTGGCCCCCAGGGATGCTTCCTGGGCCTTTGTCCAGCAGGAATGCACTCTTCTACCTCCATGTACACCTCTCCAGACTTCCTCCACATTTTGCGTTCACTTCCTGGACAGGATGAACACAGCCAAGGGAACTGGGCAAATTGTCCTCGAGTGTTGTGTGTGCTGGGTGCCATATTTCTCACGAAGCAGCTGACTGGGGACTGGGGATGTGGCTCAAGCGGTAGCGCGCTCGCCTGGCATGCGTGCGGCCCGGGTTCGATCCTCAGCACCACATACAAACAAAGATGTTGTGTCCGCCGAGAACTAAAAAATAAATATTAAAAATTCTAAAAAAAAAAAAAAAAAAAAGAAGCAGCTGACCACAGAAGCCCAAAGCTTCTTGAGGAGCGTTGCACTCTGTTGTTGCTTACGTGTTGGTCTGGGGGTTTTGCACAGCTCAACCTGCAGCTCTCTGAAGTCTGGTGGCCTTGTAACTTGTCACTTTCCATGCATGGATTGTCTATTGAGGCAAGATGTTGGCGAGGAGTGAAAGACTTTCTAATGGTCCCGTAAGACTGGAGCCAAAAAGTGTTTGTTGCTAACTCTCTTGACAAAAGTCAGTTCTTAGTCCATCTGTTCACCATTTGTTAATTTGCATTGGCTTGAAACCTGTTTACAGGTGACATGCTATTATGAGGACACTTAGAAACTATTTTAAGCACCAAGGCAATCAACAGACTCTGTTCTGATGCCAAAGGAAGAAAGAGAGAGAGGTATTCACAACTGTCATTATAAATTTATAATAAATCACTCAAAATACTTAGTTTCAAAGAGAAAAGTAGTTACTGTGTGTGTCCTAAGAATACAACAGTGAAATGATTTCCTATACTTAGTCACCTATTTCCTATGAAAACTGACTGCTGCTTTTTCACATCTTGCAGTTTTTGGGGCTTACATTATCCTGGAGTCTCTTCATAAAACTAACATCCAGTGGCAGGATGTACAGCTAAGACTCTCATTGCACTTTTGTTGAACACCTACTGTGTGTTACTCGTTGTGTTTGATATTAGCTAGAAATTCCATATAGCTACTGGCCTTACTGGGTTACAAAAACCCTTTTTAAAGTTCAAAAAAAAAAATATATATATATATAAAATAGTAGTAATATATACATAATGTAGATTTTAAAAAACCCCAAAGATTATAAAAAAGAAAAAAGCTAATGTCATCCTAAAAAAGTTCTTACTAAAATTTCAGTAGATATTAATTCCAGACTTTTTTCTGTATATACATGATTTTGAAAACTATATTTATATTACAATATAATCCCAAAGAATTATATTGTAATATAAATATTCTCAAAGGTAGTTATTAGTCTAAGGTGGCATGATTTGATCTGTGGGATTTTAGAATTTGCGTATTGCTAGTGGGGTTATGGTTGTATTCTATAGATTCCTAATCACAACATTTTTATTATAAGCATGATAAGACCTGACGTTAACTCCTTAAATTCAAGGAAATCCCTTGAACCCCCTTTAAAAGACCCAAATTCTCAAATGTGGTCACAGAACAAATTGCTCCCAAACTTAGCATTTTAACCACGTGCACATTATCTCTCACAGTGTCTGTGGACCAGTACTCTGGGATGGTTTGTCTGGGTGGTTCTGGTCCACAGTCTATCATCATGTTGCTGTGGGGAACTGGCTAGGGCCACAGTCCTCAGAAGACTCAACTGGGTCAGAAGCTCTGCTTCCCAGGTTGCTCACTGGTGCCGGCTGTTGACAGGAGACTGTGGTTCCTCTCCACAGGCTGCTTGAGCACCCTTGTGATATGGCGGCTGGATCCTCTAGAGGCAGCAAGCCTAGCCAGAGAGAACCAGGTGGAGGCCATCCTTTTCATGATCTAGCCTCAGAAGACACACGGGTCACTTGCATTTGTTCTCTTCATTAAAAATGAGCCATTAAGTGTTACTGACATTGAAAGGGGGCGGGGCGTTAACTCTCCTTTTGAAGAAAGAGTGTCAGAAAATGTGCAGACATACTTTAAAGCCACCTAGTTGCAATGGCCAGCTGAGCTCCCCCTGTGGAAGAATCGGTTCAGGGAAGGACTGGCTGAGCTGGCCAGCCCCATTTGCGTGTTTATTCAGTAAATGTTTTCTGCGGGCCTCCCAGAAAGATGTAATAATCTTGGCCTTCAGGAAGCTCTGAGGAACAGACAAGTAGCAGGACATCATGACAGCAAAGGCCAGGTCCTAATGATGGACCCCATGCCTAGGATGGCCATGCAGGGTACAGGAGACACACCAGGGGAGCCCGACTGGCCGCCGCTGCCAGCTTTCTCCCCCCCACCCCCCCACCCCCGGGGAAGGATGGAGGCTTTATCTTGTCGAGGGAGCTCCAAGCTTTCTCACATAGCCCCCAGTATTCTGAGGAAAGGTTTATTTCTAAGCAATAGAGGAAGCCAGGGATGTGCTGTAGGTGCTCCTGCACACCACGGCCCCTCCCCAGCCCTGGCCTCTCCCCAGCTCTGCCTGGCTGAGCTGAGACCACAGGGGTGGCGGGAACGCAGATTTGTAGGATACGTTCATTTTTCAAATGCACTTGGCTTTAACTGTAGGAGTCTTTGAAGACTCCAGTTCCCCCCTGAGTTCCATAGGAAGATTTGATTTGTGAGATTAATGATCCATATCTTTCTTCCCCTCCAAAGAAGCTTGTAAGAAGATAAAGGTGTTGTTTCACCATGGAAGATATTTTGCAGTGTGTTAGTTTCAGGGCCACCGATGAAGCACCCTCCCTTTCACGTGTTCCTTAGTCTTGCAGGCGGGACAAGTCTTTGCATGCAGAGCCTGTCTCCCCTGTTGCTGGGTAAACCTCACGGGGCCTCTGACCCTCATTGGTCAAGGTCAGCCTCTCTGAGAACTGGGCTTATCAGATTGATCGGTAAGTTGTGTTTGCAGATATCTGGGTATATAATACCTGCCAGATTGGGTTGTGTTACTTGTGCTGTCTCTCAGAGCCTCAGCTTTCTGGTATGATTTTGGGGTGCTCCGTGTTAACATGGGATGTTGGTTTTGATGGAGATGGCCAGCCTGAGTGGCCTCTGTCTCCTGGGTCTCAGCAGCTGGTAGAGCAGGCTTTCAGTGGCAGCAGAAGTGAAAGGTTCTTCTCTGTTCTTATTTTGCACACCTAGGTTTCATTTAGGTTTGAGAGAAAAATAGTTTTTCAGAAGTTAGTTTAGAGAATACTGTCCCCATGCCCTGGAAGTTGAGACAGGCAGTTCCTTCTGTGTGACTGTCTTCCAGGAGAAGCCCCTTCCTGCTGAACCAAAGGCACGCTTTCTTTCATGGGCGCTTACCCGCAGTCACTTGGGTGGACTGTCCACGTTTCCTGTCCACTGAGCTCCATCCCTCGGCTGCTCTGGGCTGTTTCCCCATTGCTCCTCTTTTTCTCTCCTCTCCCGTTGGTCATTGTCCTTTCTCTTGGATCATTCCTGTGAGTAGACAGTCCACCTCCTGCAAGAATCCCCATCTCCGGATCCCACTTCCCTTGTCAGCTCCCACCTCGTTCCCCTCCTCTTCACAGCAAGCCTCTTT